TCGCCGGCTCTCCTTCGCAGGGCGCCGGCTGAGGCAAGGCGGTGCCATCGGCGCTGGCCGCCGCTTCACCCCGCCCGGGCAGGCGACAGGAGTGCGGACGGATCTCGGGGCTGCTGCTGCTGCTGCTGCTGCAACAGGCGGCGGAGGGGCGGCGACCCGGGTGGAAGGGGGGCGGTTGTCTCCAGATACGCCCCGGGAGCGTCGACTTCCTCGGGAATTTCTCCCTTCCCTCCGCCTTGCGCCCCTGCCGTCGGGGGAGAAGAGCATTATCTTGTGTGGGGCAAGGAGGGGTGATCAGTAACGGCCGGGGCTGCTGCTGCTGCTGCTGCTGCAACAGGCGGCGGAGGGGCGGCGACCCGGGTGGAAGGGGGGCGGTTGTCTCCAGATACGCCCCGGGAGCGTCGACTTCCTCGGGAATTTCTCCCTTCCCTCCGCCTTGCGCCCCTGCCGTCGGGGGAGAAGAGCATTATCTTGTGTGGGGCAAGGAGGGGTGATCAGTAACGGCTCCCTTTGGTTTGTGGCAGCATCGGGAATTGCCCGTAGAAGCGAGCGGCTGGTCCTCAACCTGGAACGAAGCTGCACAGTATTTCTCTCTCTCTTTCTCTCTCTTCCCCACCTTCCTCTCCCGGGGGGCGTCTGCCCTCCAGAGGAGGAGGAGGAGGAGGAAGAAGGAGGAGAGCGGCCCTTTTGCAGCCGGGAAGAAACTTAATCGCTGGAGGAAGTGAGCTGCTGGGCAGCTGCTTCTTTTTGAGGTCAGCGACAAAGGCATTAGCGAGGAGGCTGCGGGAGCAACTGCTGCTTCTGCCACTCTTGCCTTCGGGAAGTAACAGCCTTGGCTAGAATGTGGGGGGGGGGGTCCTGGAGGGGTCCGGGCAGAGGGAAGGCGAGATCTTGTAAAGAGGTTGACTTCTAAGAGGTGTGAGGATTTGAAGGCCCTGACAGCTGAAATCCAGGTGAATGAGCTGATCCATGCAGCAAAGGCACTCTGCATAGGTTCAGAAGCCCACCCTCCTCCTTATTGCCTTATATCTTATGTTCTAAGGCTGAGCCCTGAGCTTGGAAACTGGCTCCAAGGTGGAAGACCTCTGGCTTTGAATTGGCCTTGGAAGTTTTGTTTTTTAGACTGTCAGGAGGGGATTGATTTTCAGGGATGCCTCAGGGGCCAGAGACAACCTGGATGCAATCCTTGCCTTTCTTTGCACCTTAATCAGGGGAGTTCAATACAGCTGCTTAACTGAAGAAAGCACAGGCTACCCTGAAGCTGGGCAACCACCTGCCTGGGATATTTTATGTTTGTTTGTTTGTATGTTTATTTATTATTTTATTTATTTATTTATTGATAGAGAAAAAAAAGAGAGGTCAGCCAGCATCTGGAGGGATGTTTTCACCATTTCTGTCTTTTGGCAGAGATGGATTGGACCAGACAGCACACTCAGGAAGGCATATACTTGTGTATACCTTGAATATACAATGCTTTCCCAATGGATCTCATAGATACCTCTTGGCAAACATAAAAAAGTCACTTTTTTGCACAAGCCATTAGAAATAGCTGTGTAGTTTTTAGAGGACCAAATGTAGAGAAAACACTGAAAAGCAAACTCTGCTGTGCAGACCTGTGGGCTGGGATTATTTGAATCTGTAGCAAGTGAGATCTTCCCTGTCTGTAGTGTGTTTTTGAGTTATTCCTTGGCAGGCTCTCTCAGAGTCTTATAACTCAGTTCTGCATGCCGGTTACACAGTTTGGCTTGCGCCTTGGTAGTTTGCCTGTAGCAAAGACCTTCTGAGTTCACAAATGCTAAGTTGGCCGGTTCGTTGTTAAGACCCATTTTCTCTCTCTCTCTCTCTTCTCTTTTTGGTGGAATTTGAAAGAGGAGGTAGGTGTTTACCAGACCTCAAGTGCCTACTGTGAGTTCTCTCTTCCCATTTTCCAAAGCAGACTGGTGTTAAGCAAACTCTGTCCTGTAAGCTTGCTGAGTAGCTTTGGGTAACTAGCTGGTAGAGATGGCCCAAGACATTTTGTTACTTGAGATGAAGAATAAAAGCAGCCCCCCCCCCATCTACAGATAATCGGCTGGAAGCTGCATCTTACAACACTGACATGAAGATAAAAGCCTCCATCCCATCAGACAGCAGCAGGATACTGGAGGGGGGTGCAGGCAGTTTACCTGGCACAGTAAACTCATCCATCAGATCCTCACTGCTGTTGCTCATTTGCTATTGCCTGAGGCAGATGGCTTACAGCTCTTTCAGCCAGAGCGCTAAACAGCTGTTTGCCTGTTCATTACCAAAAGAGTTTTCAGAGCAAAGTCCATCCTCACTTCCTTTTTCTACATGTGCTGTAAAGATAAGGACCAATTATGGAGAGTATTTGTGGGGAAGGGGAGAATGTTGCAGTACAGTAATACTAGCATGTTGCAGTACAGTAGTAAATAAGCTTATAACATAGGAGATGGAAGGGTATTTCATGCTTTCTCACTCTGGTTTAGTCAATATTTCAGCTTTGTGCATGCCTTTTGAATGCTTACAAACACTGCTGTGCTTGATCCCATATTGATGATACACATAGGGCCAAACCTCTGAATACCTTTTGCTCATGAGACAGGAGTTGGTCAGTTTCCATACTTGTGCAAGGAGTGATCCAGTAATATGTGTCCTTGCATAAACTCAAGTCTGTTCAACCACTTGTGCAACAGGTGTTGGAGGTACCAAAGTGGGGGCAAGGATCCTGACCTTTATGGTTATTAAATGCACAAGTGATTCTGTGGCATCAGCAAACCTTTGTTACAGTTCTTCTTAAGCCCCTGTGCCAGAGCTGAACTGTGTAACTCAACATCTTTACCTCTCGAACTATCAACCTAGAAGGCTATTAGCAGCACAACATGATATATGCTGGCAACCAGTGTGGCTTAGTGGTTAGAGCTGAGCTAAGAAGTCAAAGAGGAAGGTTCAGGTTCACATGTAGCCATGAAATTGTTACCTCTGACTGCCTTAGTCTAACCTTTCTCATGGGCTTGTTGAGAGGATAAACTGGGTAGGAGGATGGCCACATTCTTTGAGCACACAATTGTTGCACTCTTGCCTTTTATTGCCTTCTGGGATGCATCATCTTCAGACATTATTTTGATTAATAAATGTGGGAAGCTAATTTGGAGCACAAGCATACTGCATTTATCATGCAGCAATGCAGTAACAGAAATCAGTGAATGGAAGCAAGTTTCAGAGTTCTGTGCCTGGAAATTGTATGAGCTTGCACTGAAGTAAAGAAGTTACAGGATGTGTATGCAAATCTGCTTTTGCTTTCACAATGATATTGGAAACAGTGACTGTGAACTTGGAAGTTACAGAATGAATAACCTGGGTTCAGGGAAGATTAACAGACTTGTTTAATAAACCAGGGCCTATGATTTTATGGTTCAAGGAAGAGTCTGTGTTTCTTTGAGGTAGAGCATGCTCAACAATCTCAAGTCTATAAAGATTTGACCATTAGTGTCACTCCTTTGAACTAGATTGCTCAAATTTAGTACCATCTGGACTACAATTTCCATCCCACCCCCATTTTATGTGCTGTCTGTTAATGATGGAAGGTGTATTCCCAGTACATCCAGGAGTCACTAAGTTGGGGAAAGTTGTATTATATTCCTTATAGCTTGAAATAAATTGTAAGTATAGGATCCTGCTTGTAAGGGGATGGCTGACCTTATGGCTTCTTGATTCCTTTTAGAATCTTTCCAGCAATGAAAACAGAATCTACAAGGCCTTTTGACAGATTTGAAAGGTTTGTGTTGAAAGGACGTAGTAACCTGATTGATATCTGAAGGGTTTTTTAAAAAAATAATATGAAGTGTTCATTCTCTGTTAACATTTTAGTTTGCTCTGTGACAAGGTTAGCTTACTAATGAGATTTTTAACAGCTGAAGCTCTTTCTGTCTCTTCCCAGCCCTGATTATTTGAGATCAGCTGACATGACTGAGGTGATGAATGCTCCCTCTATGGACGAGATTGGCTTAAGCCCCCGCAAAGATGGACTGTCTTATCAGGTAAGTTGATGGTGTGCATTCCAGGGAGATCTGCTAGGTGGCTGGGATTAGATGTTGACCCTGTCAACCAGCTGACCTTCCACCTTCTCCTAATATTTTAACACTTGCCATTCATCCTCAGCGAGGACAGATGAGTGGATTGGTTCTGTCTACAAGTAAGACCCACTGACCTCATTAGGACTCATTCCCAAATAATTTCTGGGGCAGATGTTCTGCTTGAGGGGCTTGGTTAAAAAAAAGATAATATGGTTGTGTATGAATGGATGCAGTACATTTTATATATAACTAACTCATGCCCTGCTTGTGGCTTCCAGTAAGCATCTGGCTGGTCACCATGTGACAGAATGCTGGACTAACCAGACCTTGAGTCTCATCCACCAGGTGTCTTATTATTGTACAACTTATTTCTGTAAATTTGCCTAGGATGGGACAGCACAGCTTGATGCATTTCTTATCCTTTTGTGACTAAAACAGGTTCTTGTTTTTCTGGAATCAATTTATGTCTGTTTTGCCAGGTAACCCCCAAAGTGGCTTTGACTTTTCATTAGATTGTTTTCTTTCAGTGACAATAGAGTTCTGTGTTCAAGGAGAGAAATGGGAAGCTTTGTCTCTTCTGTGTCTTTCCTGCCCCATCACTTGACCCAGAAAATGTTTTTTAACTGAGCAGTATCTGGAATGAACTGCACTACTTTAAGCTGATTTTTGTCATCTTATTTTCCTGTTTGGCAAGACTTTTGGAGTAGCTCCCTACAGAGGAATGCAATGAGTGAACATTACATCAGTATTAAAATTCCACATGGATGTTTACTTCTGAATTAAGGTTTAAGAGTCCTGTCCTTCAAACTTGATGTGTATTGAACTAATTACCTTTTGCAAAGTATGTATTTTCACCCTCTGTTTGAAGGAAGGTCACTAGGCTTAGGCCCCATCCAATGCATTCAGGTGTTCAAGATTTTGAAATCAGTAGACTTGAATGCTTTGCTTACTTCTACACTGGTTTGTGGCCAGCCTCCCACACAGTCTGTGTGCTATTGTCCATTAATGGTTGGAAAAATTTGCTAATGAAATGGCTTAATTGGTATATTTTTGGGTTGCAAATGGTCCAGTCTTTTGGCAGCTCACCCTTTTGTATTCAACACATTCTTTACTTTGGGAACCACATGAATGTTACAAGCTTCTGATCAGATCTCAAAGGGTTGGATCTCTTTTCTTTAGCACCTATCCTGATACAGTTTCTAAGATTGAACAGAAAGTAGATTGTCAGAGCAGAGGGGATCTTATCACTTCTTTCTTAATCCATTACTTAACATAGTGTAAGTATCTGAGTGATGTATTAAGACTACTGTCTGCATCCTTCTCCTACCCGTCCTTGGCATTCCCTAGACCAGAAGTCTCCAAACTTTTCACACGGAGTGCCACATAATACATTTGTAAGGGCTGAAGGAATGCGTGTGTGCATGTGCACCCACCTGCCCACACAGGTGAGCCAGATGTGGCTCGCAGACCGTACTTTGGAGACCCCTGCTCTAGACCAGCAGTTTTTAAAATGAGATGCAAACGAACATTGGGTCTCCACTCTCAGAGTTCCTCATTAATGACTAAGGCAAGGACTTCAGGGAATTGAAGTCCGCCAATGTCTAGGGACCTGAATTTGGGAACTACTTCTCTATAACCATAGCAGAAAAGTAGATTCAAGCATTTTTGGCAACCTCTGGGATTTAACCCCAGGGTGAGTTTCATCACTTGGCAGCATTACGCGTTGGCTATCTGTGAAAGGAAAATTGAAGATGCAAATGCAAATTAATTGCCAGCATGGGAGGCTAAATGGCATTGAATGTGTACGGCTGTGCAGTTAGTATCTGCTGGAATGGATTATATAGCATCTATCTCGGGCACAGCATAGCAGGGCAGGTTATGGGTTTGGAGGTTCTATTCTGCTTTCCTCTAAAGCACTAAGACCCACCAACTGGATTAGAACATGACATGTTACCTCTAAGTGTCTTAGCTAGTGACCTTTGTACTTTACACGAGGGTGACTTGTATGCCCGTACATAAATTTACATCTGATGTGCAACAGGTCAGGGATTCAAGCAGTCTAATTCCGACCTAGAAATTGCTACTGTTAAATAATTAGGAGATGGAGATCCTTGCTGATTTCTTGCACGTCAGCCAGGGAGCTACTAATAGATCCTGAGCCATGTTCTTCCTATATCTGATTTAAAGCAGCAGGAATGGCCTTTGTATATTAAAACTGAAAGAGGAAAATGTGAAAATTATACTGTTTTGTCATCTCCTAGATGGCTTGTGGTCCTGCATGGAAAACCATAGTCGTGTTATGAGTGCTCAAGTTATGGTCCTCCTGTTATGCTAAATTGGGGATGAGGGTAACAGGAATTTCTTATGTTGAAGAATCACTGCCAAGAAAAAAAAAACATTCCTGGGTTACTTTCAAATGTCTGTAACCTTGGGCATAGTAGCTGCAGAATGGGAGATAGTCCACACATAAACCATGTGTTATCCTGGACATTTGGAGCCATCAGCATTTTTGATAGCATGCTTTGTGGGAAATAATACACTGGCCACCTAGGTTTACCAGTATACCAGTCATCCATTGAAAATCTCGGTCCATGGATGTTCATTTCATGTTGACCAATACCATTTTAGCACCAGGCAAAAGACTTCCATTTGTCCAAGCCCTTTAGAGTGCTCTTTTGTAATAGGTGTTCATGTCTACCAAGGATGAGCAATTTCAGTCAGCTTTGAGGCTAGACCTCACTGCCAGCACCAGAGCAAGAAATGGACGTTATAACAAAAACCAGCCAGGAGGTGCTTGGAGGGATACTTTTGGTATCTATGTGGAGTAAGGTCAGGGGAGTCTTGTGGGACCACCCCCCCCGTCTCTATGCTGGCATTCCAAAAATTGGTCTTTTTGACCTAAACAATTGAGGGGTTGGGGTCCTGGGGAAGCCAGGAGGCTACATATTGGCCACAGGTTGTGTGTTGCTCACCCCAACATTTGCATATACATGGCTTGTATGCAGCAATGTCATTTCATTAGTGCAAGTTCCATTATACTGGTGGCTGTGTATTTTCCAAGTTGGAGCAAGACTGGTACCCAATATTGGCTTTTGTGTGCCACAATGAGGCTTGGAGCAACTGCTCCAATGGGGATTTCCTCTCTACTAATACCTGAATGGATGTTAACAGAGAACAGTGAGTGGTAGATGACCTGGCAGGTGGGAATGAGACAGTCCAACAGGAGTACCTGCCCATGTAGTCTTTGCCTACCTCCTCAGCTTGGCTGAGGTTAGCTTTTGTTTTGTTTTTCACCCCATTGTTCTGTTTTCATGATGATCTCTTTTGTTTTGCCTGGTTGGTTTTTAATTAGTGTAACTGTTGTCTCCTTTGGGGCTGAAGATTAGAATTTGCAGCTATGCGCAATGACAAAAATAAAATAAAAGCAGCATAATTGGAGAAAGACAATAGGCAGGTGTCTTCTTCTTTCTTTACTTTTCAAAGGATCAAATAAAAAAGGAATCCCAATAAATTAAGGAAGATTAAATTGTTGGAGCATTGTGCTCAAAGTCACATGAGGATGAAATCAGAGCCTATTCTAATTGTTTTCCTAACAGCTGCACAACACCTCAGTCTTGTATACAAGTTTTTAGAATGCTAATTTGTATGAACATGTAGAGGACTCAAGTTCCTAGATGCTGTTTCTCTGCCAATTATTGATTGAGAATATCACCTGAAGCATATCTACCTAGCAGTAAACCTCTCTGGAGGAAGTGAAGTCTTCACTAAGATTCATTCTGCTTCCAACTCACTGGCAATGACTACCAGTTTGGCTGCAAGGGTAGTTTGATACCAACATGCATTCCCCTCTGCATCTCCTATTTTTCTGGTATAAAGACTTGCTTTACATTTTTCTGCTGTAAGCTTTTAAAAAAGCCTAGTGCAGTTTAAGGCACTTAAGATAGTTGGCAGGTGGTGGGGAAGCCTTTTGTCTGTAGAGCAGGGAGGAACTGCCAGTGTACACCTTGATTACTTCTGTTTCTCCCATGGGGTTTAAAGTCCATTTTTCTTGGTTGAATCTGGCCCAATCTTTGAACTACAGTGGACCCTTGACTTACAGACGGCTTGAGTTACAGCCTTCTCTGGTTTAGGTTTAACTTGCAGACTGAGATTTGACTTACAGACCAGAAAAAAACCAAAATGGAACAAAAACGGCCTGTTACGGGATTAATCGGTTTTCAATGCACTGTAGGTCAATGGAGACTTGACTTACAGACTTTTTGACTTGAGAACCGCCTTCCAATACGGATTAAGTTCTCAAGTCAAGCCCCCACTGTATTTGTCTTAACCCTAGGTTTTATACCATCTTTGCCTAATACAGAGTTCTGCAGCACTTCAAAACCCATCCTGCCTCTTTACATTGGTCTTTTTCTAATCCAATCATGATATTGCCCAATTTCAGGTTTTGTTACTATGAATGAGTCACACAACTGTTTTTACATTCACTCTTTAAGTATTGGCTTTTCCTGGGTCAGGGTTGTACCTTGGGCCATTTAACTCTGAGGCTGTGCTCAGAGCTACTTTCAGTTCTTAGTACTTTCAGTTCTTAATTGAGGCTCATTTTGAGCTCTTTGGTCATTAGTTTGAAAGTCATTGCCTGTGTCTTACCCCCTGACAAAGAAGCTGAAGTCTTGCTTTCTTAGTTCGTTACAGTACAAGCTTTTGCATACATTACAGTGTTTCTTCCTGTTTCTTGTTTGTTTAGGGCTGACATGGCACATCTATACACTGATTTCCCTAAAAACAAGACAGGCAGTGTTTTCCCAATTTGTACATTGTCTGAATATGGCTTCTAATGGTGTTTGTGTAGGTGCTGGTATCACAGCTGTGAATGCAGACGGTGATGATGCTTTCCTTAGGCTGCCCTTCTTTAGGAAATTGTGCTGCAGATTTCAAATAAAGAAGATTAGCATGCTGGAAGACCA